CACCGATTATTCACCTTGAGGAACCTCTGGCTATGGCGCTCGAAGTCCACAAGCTCCTTTCGAGTAAAAAAAGAACCGCTACTAACAGGTAGTTGCAGTTGTTCTTTGTACTTTCCTCTCTACGCGAATCACCCTTGCGCTCCCGCCTTCACCCAATTCACTCACCAATCTTCTCCCCACCTTCAATTCTGACGTACTCCAACCGCCGAACAACACTGAAGCAGAGCGAGGGAAGAAAGGCGAATGGAGTTCTATTTGCTTTTCGTTTTGTTTTTTGTTTTTTGTCGACTCTTTCTCACTCTCTCTTTCTCTTTTTCTCACTGACTATGGTTCTCCCTGTCCCTCCGCCTACGTAAACCACGCTTGCACTCTGGTCTCACTCGGAAATCCTCCTCACTCTCCTTCCTTTAAAAATTTGTATACACGATGACTCTTTCTCACTCTCTCTCTTCTCTTCTTCTCACTGACTATGCTTCTCCCTGTCCCTCCGCCTACGTGAACCACCCTTGCACTCTGGCCTCACTCAGAAATCCTCCTCACTCTCCTCCCTTCAGAAATCGTCCTCACTCTCCTTCCTTCTTTCCCTTCTAGTGAGTATAGTCACGAAAATGATCGTCGACTCCACAATTCGTACACACGATGGCTATAATGTCCTTCGTATACTGTTACTGCTACTGTTTTTCTACACCCGGGCTAACTTTTTATATACAAATCTGATTTGTATCATACCCAAAGTCAAGTCCTCGACAGGCAAATCGACGAGCCGCTTGCTTTCGACGCAAAACGGCCTCACGCTCCATCCATCGATAAGATGAGCAAAATCGGAATGAATCTTCAGCCATAAATGAATCTTCAGCCATAATATGGAAATATACATCACTATATTTTGTGTCGACCCCCCTTTTTAAAGGGACGCCGTTATTTCAGACGGCCACATTATAATCAAAGTAAATTATTATTATTTTTTTCTATTTCCCTTTAGATTTTTTTTCCTTCATTTTCTTTTCCTTTTTGTTGGTATTTCCCCTCCCCTCGGTTACCTGCTACCGTTGGGGTGAAAACACGTCGCGGTCGACAATACCACCCAAACTTAACGCTGTTCGTAGCCAGGTACGCGCGCTCCTTCGGCAGGTGAAGAGCACCCTGTTGAGGTTGACTTCCGTCAAGTGACGTTCACGCTTGAAAAAAAAAACTAAAATAATTTTTGTGGGTCAAAACGGACTGCAGTCGACAACAATAGCGCCCGAACTTGGCGCTGTTTGTGGCCCCGTACGGGTGCACATTGGGCAGATGAAGAGGACCTTGTTTTTGATTGAGCTTGACCTGATTTTCGTGAAGTAACGTTCGCGCTTGGAAATACAAATTTCGACCAGACTTGACGATCGACGACACGTAGACCATCGAATCGACAACCCGACTAGCAAAAAAAAAAAACCAAAGTTCGACTCGTCATCGACGACGAGCTGCTTCCTTTGGACGGCCAAAAAAACTAAACCTGCATTACCCCTTACCCCGCCCCAAAAAAGCCTCACAGTCGAGACTTGTGGACGCCCAAAAAAATGAAATGATCGGTGAAGTGACGTCCACACTAAAATATATGCATATACACGCGGTAAACGGCCAGAGACGGAGCTGGGACGGATCGGGTGGGCCTGCGACTGCTCGGTGTGGCTTGGGACCAACCTGATCCTGCTTGAGATGACCTGAAAAAAGACAAGATAAAAAAATGAACCAGACGATCAATCAACATGACAAAGACAAGACAAAAAAAATGAACCCACTTGCCTAGCACGGGTCAAATTCATTATTCATCATTCCTTGTAGCGCTTTGCCAGCCAGGCAGGGCGGATTCCACGCGAGGCACCTAACCGCCTCGCTTCATTCAGTTCCAGACAATTCCAGACAAGTATTGTAGCATCTTGTATCGGATCGTAATCACAACGTAAGGGATGTTGTTTTCTTTTTTTTCAAGGGATATTTTTCTTTTTTTCTTTTTTTGCTTTTCATAGATGGACGATGGCCCTGACTAAACGTGTAGCTAAAGGCAGCCCGAGTTTCAAATTAAATTGAAACTCGGCCCCAAACCATTTTCCACCCGTCCCCACCTGTCCCCAGCAGAGCACATTACCAGTCCGAAGAACCCCCAAACAGCCCCCGAACAACAACCTAAAAAAAGATCGACCCTCCACCCAAAAAGGAAACCAGGTCGCCGTCCGCAACAAAGCTGAACAACCGAATGAAACGACCACTGGACGTATACTACACAATGCCTACCACGACCACTCGCACTACCGGTCCGTCTCCTAGCCGCGACCGCACCCTTTGCACTTTTCCCTAAACCCGAAAAGACCCCGCCAAGCCTCATTCGACGTCCACGACATTTCCCAAAAAAACAACGACAGAAAACGACAAAAAAGTTGTCTCCTACTCACAGGAAGCGCAGCCTCTGGCCGCGAACTGATAGACCGCGCCTGGGGCGATTCGCAGGCAAGGGGAGGATGAGTGACGCTCAAGGAGCGAGAATGCATTTCGTGGGGGGAGGGGGAGGGGGAGGGAAAAAAAGGGACAACAATAAGGACGCGAGAAGGCATTTCGTGGGGGGAGGGGGAGGGAAAAAAAGGGACAACAATAAGGACGTTTTGGGTCGTGCCAAGGAAAAGGCAGATAGCATAGGACATTTGTTGACGATCTCACCATTTTTATTTTTTTTTATTTTTGTGTGAAAGAACCCAAACAGATGCTACTGTCTTCCCCCGAACATAGCACACTCTAAAAATGAATGTATACAAGCTATATTTCTGGCCAGATACAACCAAAATAAGGGTGCGTTGTATTCGGGGGACGACGGTGGGGATGCTGGTACCAGCCGACACCACTAGCACTATCAGGGAGGATCCATCTATTGGTGTGGAGCAGCACCTGCTGAAAAGCAGGTCCAGCGTCCCTGGACATTATGGTTGTTTTTATGAATGAACTTGTGATTGTAGCAGAAACAGTAAATGTAAACCCTTAAACCCTAGTGACTGTCCTAACTGTGAAGCTGATGTGGGGTGGCTTAAACACACAATCACCACCCCCTCTCCCCTCCCTCCCAGAAACCCATAATGTCTTGTGCAGTGCAGTGACCCTGTGAGTGAATTGTGTAATTATGAAACCGATGTGGGGTGGCGAAAGTTCCCACCCTCCCAAACCCCATGATGTATGTTACTATCTAAGGCTTTGGGTGAGTGGCGCCACCATCCTCTCAGACGGGAGGAAATCACGAGACGGGAGACCGATCATTAATTTCCTCGCTGCAGGGTCTCGAGGGGTCGTCATGTACACGACGATCAATCGAGAGGGGGAGTCGGACGATGCTGTGCATGTCCTTCAGAGATGGGTAACCATTTTCCACGAGTTCAAGTTCGGCGGGCCGCAGCGGTTCAATGCGATATGCACTGTCAAGTTCGGCGGACCGCAGCGGTTCAATGCGATATGCACTGACTCTGCGTCAGCGTACATTGGGGCTGCCAGGGCTCTGACCTCAGAGACCATCCCTGCAGCATTGAGGAGGATCACTTGGTTCCCATGCTCGGTCCATGTCTGCAACAAATTGTTGTCATACATGGGGATGTGTTGCGACGCGTTTGTTGATACTATCACACTCGCTTATGTGCTGGTGGTGTTTTTCAAAACCCACCAGGCAGCCCTTCATTTTTTTAGGAAGCGCAGCCCCAACCTCGGTCTTGTTCTTTCATGCGAGACGCGGTTTGCGTGTGTGTACTCCATGTTGGAGAGGCTCATGGCCTTGCAGGACACTTTGCAGGGCATGATGCGAGGGGATGACGCGCGGGTTTTCGCCTCCATCCCGTGGTCTGTCGATGTTTGTTACATGGCGCGTTGGGTGCACCGACAGATGAGATGGGATCCTTGGTGGCAGAGGGTGGCCACCATCGTCCATATCATGGAGCTCGTGATGCAGTTGCTCCGACGGATGGATCGTGGAGGGCAGTTCATGTCGCTCGTGCTCGAGTGGGCACAGGATCTTGTGCAGCGGGTGGAGGCATGCGCTCCTTTGGGGTCCTCGATCACAGACCGATCATCAGGCGTGTGCATGCACGCTCACAACACATGCTAGAGCCGGCCCACTGTGCTCAGTTCTTACTGAACCCCCGCAGGCGACATGTTCGATATTTTTCCGGCGAGGTGCAGGAGTACCATGCTTGGCTTGTGAGACAAGCCAAGAGGTACATTATGACGCAGACGGGTTTCGATTTGGAGGGTGCGGAGTACCTCCAGGCCTGCCGGCAGTTCGAGGACTTCCACATGCAGCAGGGCAGGTTTGGTGATTGGGGCGGGGCGGAGGGGCGTGCTCGTGGGCGCGCATGTAGTGGTGACACGGAGATGATTGAGTGCGCGGCTTGGTGGTCCCAGTACGGGGCTCGCGCCCCTGAGTGGCAGCGGTGCGCTCTTCGTGTGATGCACATGTGGTCTTGCGCCTCTCCAGCGGAGAGGAACTGGGCAGTCCACGAGGGCATCCACACGAAGAAGCGTAACAGGTTGGTCTTTGAGAAGGTCGTGCAGTTCGTTGAGATCACCGCAAATGTGCGGTTGACAGAGTATAGGCGGGCAGGATGCGGTTACGTGCTGCCATGGCAGCGTGACTAAGGGATGTTGGACTGCCAGGCAGGACTAGAGGTTGAGCCGGTGCGCACGAGCATGCGCCAGGGGATGACGGCGGCGAAGATTGCAGAGCACGTTGCGCTTATTACACGCGATCCCATCGGGTCTTTTGCACCACCATCCGCTGATGTCATTTTTGAGAGACATGCTTGCATTTTTCGTCCGTACCCCAGGGACGATGACTCGGATGAGGAGCCCACACCCGAGGGAGTAGATGACCCTGCTGCCCTACCCATCCCGAGCAAGATCGACGAGACGCATGAGGAGGCCAATGATGCCGAGGTGAGGACATACACGGCTGGGCGGGCAGCGGACCGAGCAGAGGAGGAGATGCAGAGCGGGGATGAGGATTTATGGGGCCCTTTCGGGGAGGTGGTTTCCACGGGTGATGCGCGTGCTGACTGAGGCGAGGCCTCTCATGCCGACACGAGCCGTGCAGAGGCGGGGAGACCGACTCCTGCTCCTGCCGGGCGAGAGCCAGCCGTTCAGCCACCTCCTGCGTCTGAGTCCTGCACCGCCCATCCCCGTCTCGCCTCTTCAGCCGTCCACTACACAGGCGGAGACAGAGAGGTTGGCATCCTCCTCGCCTCCGCAGGGGGTTCTGCAGAGATCGGCGGTGGTTCGATAGTTGAGGTTACGATCACCTTCCCCGGGGGCATTACAGGAGGAGGGGGATGTGGCAGCAGCAACGCAGGAGGCACCAGCAGTCTCGACAGCGAGGGAGGAGGTGCCAGCACAGGCGACGGTTGAGGAGGAGGTAGCGGCAGCGAGGCCGCAGGAGGCCGTTCCTATGGATCATGACGGTGTGGACACCGATGAGCAGCTTATGCGGCGCTTCATCAAGGAGGAGGTCGATCCAGTCGTGGGGGGTTTGACCCCGGGGGCGGCGATGGAGGTGGGGATTTCTGGTCCCACAGGGGGGGCGGGGTCAGAGATGGGGACGCACTTCGACTTCGACTTGTCGATGGGCCCTCCACCTACTTGCGGCGGGGCGACATCGACAGTTGCAGCAGAGGCGGACGATGAGGCTATACAGGGTGGGCCAGAGGCAGTGGATGTTCCTGTGGATCGTCGGCCACAAGCGGCGGATGAGGCTGTGCAGGCAGGACAGCGGCGAGATGAGGGGGCTATAGACACACAGGCCGTGGTTCAGGAGGCAGCGATGGGTCCAGTCGTTCCTTTCTCAGGCCTGCACTTGGCTCAGGGCCAGCAGTCGCAGCCGGTTGAGGTGGCAGTGCATGGTGTGCCACCGCCCGTTATCACGGATATGGGGTCCGAGCCGGTGGTGGTGCCTCCACGTGCTCCTAGTCACTTCGCTCCGCAGGAGGTCCGTCGTCCTTTGGATGCAGATGAGTTGGCGAGAGATGCTGTGCGTGATGTTACTCGATTGGACCAACGGATCTTCGATTGGAGGCTCGAGCATCCAGCATGGCAGGCGATCCCTTCGATTCCATGGGGTCTTGCGTCGCCCGTGTGGTCTGGTTCTACCTCCACCGGAGGACGTACTGCGGGAGATGTTCCAGGGGTTTCGGATGTTTTGCAGGAGACAGCGCCACATACAGGAGACATGCCACCCCTCCTCCTAGACCACCTGTAGGTGATCCATCATTGTCGCCCACAGGCAGAGGCTCTCGATCCCCACAGACGCCCGGGAGATTGAGGATTCGTGACACGACAACAATTCTGCCGGACGTGTGTGACACGTCCATATTCGGGAGGACAGACATAGATTTGGATTCTACCCGCCGTGTCACGGAGCACACTGCACGCCTTCAGCCGGGCTTGGGAGGAGTTGGCGCTAGGACAACCACAGTGAGGGAAGTGCCAGCATCAGGTTGTGAGCCTCAGCGAGGTCGTGGTAGAGGAGTGTCCGCCGACACCTTGGAGCACGCTCTGAGAGCAGCGATGCGTGCTATGCAGGAGAAGACCCCGCGCAAGCGTGGAGTGCCTCCTCGTCCACGCCCTGTGGCTGCAGAGGGAGGCGCTGCGCTTGGAGAGAGTTCGGGGGCGGAAGGGTGGCGGATGCCTCCTTGATCCCGCCATCAGCAGAAGATTGTTGAGGCTAGTACGAGGGTTGTTTTGTTGAGGAAGGAAGGAGGCCCTGTCACCATCGAGGAGGATGATCCTGAGACGGATGCGGCAATGGGGGAGGAGGACAAGGATTACGAGGGCGAGGCGGAGGGTGAGAAGGAGAGCGAGAGCGGTTCCGGTGGTGATGACAACTACGTTGACGATGGGCCCCCAGGCCCCCCACCTCCCTCGCCGACGCGTGCATCTAGACGGTCCGCTGCGCAGACTTCTTTGTCCGCACGAGGGAGGAGGAGGTCGGCATGTGGCACTCGAGGGGGTGCGAGGAGAGGGAGCAGGAAGGGGAAGAAGGGTCGTTGACCGTGAGGCCAACACTCTTTTATTTCCCTACTCTTACCGTACTTCATTATGTTGTGAGGTCCTGTTTTTTCTGGTCGTGTCGTCTTTTCTTTGTATTCTTAGACACTCAGTGAGTCAATGGTAGTGTGCGTGTTGTAGTTGTTGTTTCCTTCGTTTTTGGTGTATATGATTTTGGTACCAGTAGGGTGTTCGTAAATTAGCGTTGGTTGCAGCAGACTAAGTACAGTACATTATCTCGGCAGCTACGACACGACTTGTAGACTAGTGTTTCTTGTATTTTTTTCGGCATCTGGTACGAGTGTTTTTAGCAGTATAATTATACTAGGATACATTGTATTATGTTACATTTTTCATGTGTGATTTCAGTGACAGGTACTTCGCGCTGTTCACGACTTCTCATGTACATTACATTTTTCCATGTACATATTCAGTTACGAGTGATGCACGTCGTGTGCGCGACATTTCGTGGCCATTTTTCTCAGGTCTGTGATTTTTTATCTTTATTTGTTGTTCTCATTTTGGAATTTCATTTCGTGTGCGCGACGTTTCGTGGCCATTGTTCTCAGGTCTGTGATTTTTTATCTTTATTTGTTGTTCGCATTTTGAATTTCATTTCTTGCATTTGTTTCTTTTGTTTTTTTTTTTGCTTTGAGAGTTGGTAGTTGTTTTTTTTATTATTATTTTTTTTTTTT